AGAATCCACCAACCGCTTTCATCCCGGCCCACATGCAGTCGTATGCCAACGCCATGCAATAGAAACTCATAGAAACAGCGAAACTTGCAGTTGCGGCCAATGCGTCTGCCGCTCAATCAGCCGACCAGAATCCACCGCCGGTGGGGTCTAACCCAACCAAGGATAAGCCCAAGCTGGAGGATAATCCGATGCTTGGTGCTGAGGAAGAGGCTGAGGAAGAAATGACCGATCAGGCCAACATTGCGAACGTGGATTGAGCTCCCTCTTCTTTTTTTGTTTCTTTTTTTTTGTATGTGTGTGTGTATGTGTAACCGGGCAATGAACACCACTTTTGTAACCAAATTGTTTCTGAATGAAAATCAGCTATTTGTTAGTCACCATATGCATTTGTCTTTTTGTTTTCTTCAATTTCACTCTGTCGTCTGCCTAATCGTAATGCTGTCTTGTATAATAACCGAGATGCAAATGCTTGGTTTAACTGTGTCATTCTAAAAATGTATATCGTCGAGATAAAAATTCCTCGCAGTGTCCAAATGTGAGATTTCCTTTATCATGCCGAGCTAATTTTCGCTCGGATCGCACAAATGCGAAATAACTCTCTACTCGATGGAGTTAGTCGATTCAGAATTGGGGGTGCACAACATTAATCAGTTCAGCTAAGGTCTTTACTAGTGCTGAGAACCCTAGCTTTCCTCCAGCAAGCAAAATCAGCTAGGTTAGAGAGGCAAAAAAGTAGCGTTGTTGTTAATAACATCAGCTGTCTCCCCAGCGAGTAAATTTAGCTTGGGTAATAGGCAAAAATAGCCCAGTTAGAGGAGCGAAAAATCAGTATTAAAATTATATCAGTTCTCTTCCCCATTGAGTAAAATCAGCTCGGGGTAATGGGTGAGCTCAGTTTCAAATCTCGAGTTGGGCAGAACACCAACTCTCTTTCAGGTGAGCAAAACAGCACCGTTCTCCCTGGCTTAGCAAAATCAGCTCGGGGAAGGTGAGCAAAAACAGCTCGGATTTTATTGTCAAAATTGGAGATAACACCAATTGGCCTTCCAGCGAGCAAGGTTAGCTCAGGAAATGATGAGCAAAGCAAGCTCAGAACAAAACGATTACAATTGGGGACAACACCAACTGTTAGCAAGGAGGGCAAGTCAGCCCGAGGGGAGCAAAATCAGCTCGGTCTTAGTACGATACGAATTACCCCTAGTACCCAATAGCTTAATGCAACATTTTAATGCAAAAAGAAGGGGAAAAAGATAAACATAACCACATGATATAGATAGAAATAAGAGGGCTCTTTCCATTGCTCATCAAACATTACACACAACGCCAAAAGGCCAAGTTTGAATGAAGGAAAAAGAATTACATTTTAGAAGTAAAACAGCTTGAGATTGGCCGCATTCCATGGTCTTGGGATAGTTCTGCCGTCCAAGTCCTCCAGATGGTATGCCCATTTTCCAACCAGGCCAATTATCTTGTATAGCCCTTCCCAATTTGCACCCAATTTGCCCTCTCTAGGGACCAGTGTGTTACCCATCACCTTCCGCAAGACCCAGTCCCCAATTTTGAACAGACGTGGATATACGATCCTGTTATATTTCTTGGAGAGCTCTTGTTGATAGGCTGCAATGTGAATTAGCGTCCTTTCTTTTCTTTCTTCAACTAGGTCCAACTCTAGGGCGATAGCTTCACTGTTCAAGTCGGGCTCAAAGTTTTCAGATCGGATGATTGGCATGCCGATCTCCAAGGGTATGACCGCTCCATGTCATGAGCCAGGGCGAATGGAGTTTTCCCGGTTGAACGTCTTGGGGTAGTTCGGTATGCCCAGAGAACGTTGGAGAGCTCTTTAGCCCACATCCCCTTAGCTTTCTCTATCCGTTTCTTCAACCCGTCCAAAATAGTCTTGTTTGAAGCTTTAGCTTGATCATTTGATTGAGGGTAGGCCGATGTAGAATTATAGAACTCAATCTTCAACTCTTTGCAAAATCCGCGAAAGAGTTTTCCATTAAACTGTGTACCATTATCCGAGATAAGGGCCTTTAGGACACCGAACCGAGTAATGACATTCTGTCAGACGAACTTCTTTACATCATTCTCCTTGATGGTAGCCAACAGCTCAGCTTCCACCAATTTGGTGAAGTAGTCAGTAACGGCAATGAAAAATTTGTGGTTGCCCGGAACGGTTGACAGCGGTCCAACAATGTCTAGCCCCCAAAGTGTAAATGGCCAAAGACTTGTTAAGGAGAGCGACTTGTTAAGGAGAGCAATTCACTGGCCGACTGGTGGATCTGGTGAGCAAATTTTTGGCATTTTTCGAATTTGCGAACATATTTCTGCATGTCGGCCTGCATACACGGCCACCAATAGCCTTGAGAAATTGCTCGATATACTAGTGATCTATCCCAAATGTGGCTACCACACATGCCTTTATGAATTTAAAAGAGAAAAGCTTCAATCTTGTTGGGATGGACGCATTTCAAGTACAGCCCAGTAATGGACATTTTATATAAGGCGCAAGATGGAGAGAGCCAAAATCGCTCTAATTTGGCCCTTATCTTGTTAGTTTCTTTCTTTTCGGTGGATAGGACTCAATCTTTTAGGAAGATGATGATAGGATCCATCCAGGAAGGTCCTAGGTTGGCACACAGTACTTCTAGCACCTATGGTTCTTTAATGTTGGGTCGGGGTAAAAACTCGATTATCAAAGGATTGGGAAAGGTAGTTTGCATAGATGCCAGGCTGGCCAATTCATTTGCTTGACTATTCTTCTCACAGCCGATTTGCTTCATTCTTATTGCAGCAAATTTTTTGATCTCAGCGCGTACCAACGCTTGAAATTTGGCCATCCTTTCATTCTTAACCTCATATTCCCTAGAGACTTGGTTGACCACCAGTTTGGAGTCGTTGAATACCATAAGCTTAGATGCCTTCATTCGTAGAGCGCTCTTCAAGCCGGCGAGAAGGGCTTTATATTCTGCCTCATTGTTAGACGCTAGGAATCCAAGCGTGATAGCATGCTCAATGGTTAGTCTGTCTGGCGAGGTTAATACAACCCCTAGCCTGATGCTATGTCTATTGGAGGCTCCATCAACGAAGAGCTTCCATATCTCACCAATGAATAATTTCCAGTAGTCGGATAGGTTCTGAGAGTTTCTTAAATCCAAGGTACAGGTCGGCCTTGCACGTTGCTTTCTTGCATGGTCATCTAGCTCGTTATTCGGTAGGTCGACCAACTCTTCCTCTGTTTGCTTGAGACTATCTCAACTTTCTACTGCTTGTACCACACCCCCCTTTGGTGGCATTAAACCTGTGGGCCGTGCTAAATCTGCACTAGCCAAATCAATAGGATAGACAGAGTGAGTGCCACGGGAAAATTCCGCCACAAAGTTGGCCAGGACTTATGCCTTTATGGCTATTCGCGGATGAAACTTGACATCGTACTACCCTAGCTCTATTGCCCACTTCAAAATTCTGCCCGTAAAATCCATCATCTCAAAGAGCACATTGAGTGGAAATTCGGTTAGCACTACTATTGTGTGGAAGTGAAAATAGTGCGCCAACATTTTGGAGGCCATCATAAGAGCTAGAGCCAATTTTTTAAGTGGCAAATACCTCGACTCGGTTGGAAGGAATGTTTTGCTGACATAGAAAATAGGGAGGTATTGAATTCCCTGAGCTTAGATGAGTACCGCGCTCACTGCATATAAAGAAACGACCAAGAATAGATAGAGCTCTTCGTTTGGCTATAAAGTAACCAGGATTGGGGCAAAAGAAAGATATGCCTTTAGGTCTATCAAAGCGCGGTCGCATTCTACATTCCAGAAAAACTTGGCTTTCAAAGTCTTGAAAAAGGGCCTGCAATGATCTGATGACCGGCTGATAAATCTGTTCAGTGCTGCTGTCATTCCGACAAGATGTTGCATATCCTTTGTGGAATTTGGTCATTCTAGCTCTTGGATCACCTTGATCTATGTAGGGTCAACTTCAATTCGTCGGTTGGTAACCAAATAGCCTAAAAAAAATTCAGTTCCTACTCCGAAAGCACACTTGGACGCATTCAGGTGTAATTTGTGGAGTTTGAGTATAGCAAACATCTCAGCTAGGTCGATGAGGTGCTGGGACTCACCTTTGCTCTTCATTACCATGTCATCAATGTAGGCCTCCATAGTATGGCCAAGGAGAGAGGCAAACATTTTGGTCACCATCCTTTAAAAGGTTGTCCTGGCGTTCTCGAGGCCAAAAGGCATAACCTTGTAACAGTACAAGCATCTTGGCGTGGTGAAGGATGTGATCTCTCTGTCTGACTCGTACATGGCTATTTGGTGATAGCCGCAGTATGCATCTAGGAAGCTAAACCTTTGGTGACCAGCGGTAAGATCCACTTGCTAGTCAATCCTTGGGAGTAGAAAGCTATCTTTCGGGCAGGAATGGTTGACTGTCTTGTAGTTAACACATACCCGCCATTTCTCATTCTTCTTCGGCACTACCACCGTGTTAGAGATTTATCTGGGGTATTGCACCTCTTCAATTGCCCTAACCTCTAACAAGTTTTTGACCTCCTCCACCACTATCTTGGCATGATGTTAAGTTGAACGCCGAGTTCTCTGTATGATCGACCGAGCATTTGGAAAGACATTCAATTGATGTCAAATGAAGCTTGGGTCAACGCTGGGCATATCGTAAGGCGTCCATGAAAAGACCTCAATATTGGAGACTAGAAAGTTGATGTAGTCCATCCGCTCGGTGCTGGACAATGACGAGCTTAAGAGAAAGAATTTGCGTGGATTGTTCTCATCAATTCGAACCTCCACTAAGTCTTCAACTGATTTCTCTTTGGCTTTTCATCCCACATTTTCCAAGACTTCCTTGCCTTCTGGTCCTTCTATCATCTGGACAAAGCCCTTTGCTGCCCAGCTACCATTGACAATGACAAAGCATTGTTTCGACGTGACTTGGTCTCCCCAAACTTCTTCTATTTGCCCGATTGGGCCTGGGAAGCACATGACCTAGTGATAAGTTGAAGCCACTGCTTGCATGAGATGTAACCAACTCCTCCCTAAGATCAGATTGTATGTCGATGGTACGTTTAGCACCCAGAACTCTACTTGCTTCGTTACACACCCCGCTTTGACTGGCAATATGATCTTTCCGATCGACCATTCCGGCTGTGAGTCAAAGCCGACTAAAGAAGACGTTGCTGGAGCCAAGTCCTTGTCCTCCAACTTCATCTGTTTGAATGTATCATAGAACATGATCTCAACCGAACTCCCCTGGTCGATCAGTATTCTCTTAATGTCGAAGTCCTTGACGCAAAGTGTCACAACTAAGGCGTCGTTGTGAGGGGTTTGAATTCTTTCCAAGTCTCTACTGGAAAAGCTCATGATGTCTTGTATCTCGGTCTTCCCCTTCTTCATGATGGGTTGAACAGAGAGCACTTCCCTTATGTGCTCAGCCTTCTTAATCATCCCCCTGAGCTCGTATACTCGCGCCGGCTCAATGATTCCGTGAATGCCGTTGATCACTCCTTGGGACGCGACGTCCAAGACGGCTAGCCCATTCGGCTTGGCTTATCTTTATGGAGCGGCCCTCATCCCGCCGTCTATGTACTGGTCTAGGTGTCCAGCCGCAACCAGCTCTTCCAAGTGTTGTTTCAACGGCATCCAGTCCTTCGTGTGGTGCCCCCTGTTTTCATGATAAGTGTAGTGGTATCTTGAGTTAAAACCCCTCTGAGCATCCCCTAACTTTGTTGGGCATCGAACAAATGGCTCGCCTCTAATCTCACTGAGGATGCGATAAATTGGGATTTTGAAGACAGTAGTGATGTCGGTTTGTGCCTTCAACTTTCTCTTGGCGTCCTCCTCTTCATTGCGAGGAACGTTAGCCCAGTCATTCTCACGACCTTTGTTTCTATCATTGCGGTTAGCACTGCAATTTTGCTCTTTGGCTCAGTTATTAGGGCGGTTATCCTCTTGCCCCACCGAGTGAACCTTCCCAGCCGTACGTTTGTCTATGACCACCGGATTTGCCTTCTCGGTGGCGATGGCAGCATCATCCTCAACTTGGATGTGCTCGTTAATTCATTGCATCAATGATTCCATGGTTATGGACTGGTGCATCGTAAGCGAGTCTCATAGTCTATGTCCGACTAGTAGGCCTCACTTATATTGGGCAATTGCTAAATTAGTGGGGCAATCGAGGATCTCATTGTAGGTCTCCCAATACTTGGCATTGTATGCTTTCAAAGAGTTGCCCGATTCCATCTTGATACCTAGGAGGTGACCGGCCTCCTTTGGTGTTCAAGTATTGGTCTTGAATCTGGTGATGAAGGTTTTCGCTAGTTGCTACCACCCCTTAATACTCTGATCTGAGAGCCTTTCAAACCATTTCAGACTCAATTTCCGCAAACTAACTGGGAATATGAGACACCTCAAAGCATCGTTGTGCCGATGGCCTGCTATTACTTGTCAGTAATGACTAATGTGCATGTACAGATCCGTCTTGCCATCGTACAACGTGAACTTAGGTTGATGGATTCCAGCGGGGAGGGGAGTGCTTTCAATCTCTGGAGACAGCGGGGTGGCAGTGAGTCTTGCCAAGTCTTTGTCCACCGGTGCTGGAACGGCCATTCTAGGTGGCGGCATGGCCACTTCTTCACTACAACGAATTCTAGGACACAACCCTTGCAGCGTCGGCACTCTTTGAGACTCTCTAAGTCATGCACTTTCCTCCAGGACGTCCCTCAAGTTCTCCGAAAAGGCAAAGTAAGGATATCTCGACGTTGTCGACAGACGCGAAGGACAGTAACTGCTGTCTTGCGTGCATGACCTCTCTATCGGTGGGTCGCCAACGTCGTAACTCCTGGTGATGGAAAGGGAGAGTGCCCCCGTTGGTGCTAGCTGCGTACTTACGGGAGAGAAATATTCACCTCGCTCCGTACTTCCTTGCTACCAAGCTCGTCGCACTCCGTTAGAACTCCGTCACACTGTAAACAAAATGAAGGTGGGCTACTTGGTGGATGGGTTTGTCGGAAAACCCCTCTGACGGTCAAGTTAGCTTTTTTGGAGAAGAGAAAAGGCAGAGCACTATAGAAAGAGAGAGTTGCACGAAATTGCTTACCTCTAATGTCTGCATACTGCTCCTTTTCAAGGCTGGCCATGTAGTCTCAGAGATTGTGGGCGCACTACCTCTGATGTCCTTCTCTGGACAGGCTACTATGCTTCCCTCTACATTTCTTACACGTGTAGAGACCAAAACTACCAAATAGTATTTGTCGCACCGCCAAAAGGTATTAATGTATACCAGGAGCGGATTCCTCTCTTTTCGTTATTGGTCCACGTGGAATACTGGACCGAGCTATTACTTGTGAACCATAAGCACCATTTTTATCACCTTGACGCCGTGTTAATCCAAGCCGATCTTCAAGAGGAAGTATGTTCGGTCAAAGCCTTAACCGCATCACCTAGAGCCAGTGGGGCGCGCGGTTCGTTATCTCGGCTAAATACCGCGATCCCACAGACCATCTGTCTTAACGATTGTAACTCGAATAGTCTACAGCTTGGCCATCACATGGCTCCACTACCTGGAACCTCAATGCAGGAGAAATTCGGCCAGGTTTGACACAACACAATATTCTGCGTGGGTCCAGCTTGGCCAAACACCATGTTCCGTGTGGGCCCAGTTCGACCCACCACATCCCAAACAGCCTTAATCCGGCCCAACATCATATTTAGTGTGGACCCAATTCGGCCCAACAATGCGTCCCAGGCTCTCCTCACATGACCCAACACCGCATTCCGTGTTAGTGCTGCTCGGTCGATTGTTCGGCACAAATCTCCCTCTCAATTTCATTTTAAAATGAAATTTATTCTTTACATGTTATCTATTTAATTTAATTATTATAATAGTTCATTTCATTTCGATATATATAAAATTATTCATTTCATTCAATTTCATAACTTGATATTTTTTAGTCATAATTAAATAAATAAAGAAAAAGTCATAAGCAAACACCACACGGGAGATATAATGAAATAACTTTTATGAATCATTACTAAAATAATGTCATAATAAAAAAAATATATAATTTTGTATTTTTTTAGTCATGACTAAATACTACATGAAACATAACCAAACATCTCATTAATCATAATTAAAACACTATAGTACAATTTTTATTTTCTTTTTATCCTTCATAAATAATCTACATATATATATAATATATCTTCAATTATTTTTCGCAAAAAAAAAGGCTCGCATGACTTGACATGCGGCCCGGACTGAGTGTGCTTGGGCCTAATTTTTTACCACGTGGACTGAGCTAACCTGGTCTAAAATTTGATGAGAGCCCACATGGCCCGCTAGTGGGTCAGGCTGGGCCCAAAATTACATCCCTACCTATGGTTGACAAAATTTCTCAACCGATTATATTTCACTAAATTTGGTTTTAATAATAAAATATTTGAGAAAACTTTGATAGCATATGGTCAAGTAGGTTGGTTAAAATTGTCATGGTAAAAATGAAGTATGATATTGTATTGCAAATTTGATTGAGTTTAAAATCAATAAATTGCGCACAAAAGCTGAAAAACCCCAACCCGATCCATCCCTCATTCCTAGTTTACTTGAGGTCATTGAACTTACAATTTTTTTTTTTCAGTGAACTTACAATTTTGAACCAATCAAATAATGTATAATATTCTCTTTTTTCTTTTTTCTTTTTTTATCAAATTAAACTTTAGATTTCTAATTATTTCAATTTAAATTTTGAATTTTTAAAATAATATCAATTTTAATAATCCGTTTGTAACTATTAGTTAACTAAAAGAGAATGTGCAAATTAGATAATTTAATTACTTTTCCTTCATTACTGTTAATTTTCACCTCCCACCATTACCATCATTCATCAGCACCACTCATCTTACCCAATCTATTGTCACCTCTCCATTAATTTCCTCCGTTCACCACTCCTCTTTCTGCCATCCTTTCTTTCTTCTTCAGTCCATAGTTATTATTACCGTCTAACTCTATACGACAAAAAGTAAAAACCATTTAAATTACCCTTTTACTAAAAAAATTATTAGAATTTATAATATTTAGAAAATTAATAATTTAAATTAAAATAATTAAAAAAATCAAAATTCAATTTTTTAGTAGGATAAAATTCTGATTTTTTAAACTCTAGTCTCTATTAAAGCAGTAGCAGTCGGTCTAGGAGAAGCTATTGGTTAGTTTGAGTACCATTGCATAATGTTTTAAATGCATTTTGATTGAAAAATAAACTAAAATTTATAGTTTTTATTAAATAATTTAAAAATATCGAAAGATACAAAGTTTTGTTATTGATAAAAAAATATATCTCTGTACTAACTAATAATTTTGTGAGGAGTGATAGAGACCCCCTCCAATCACCACTCTCATCACCTCCCATATACATGTGGCAGGTGGTGATTGAAGGACAAGAGAAATAAAAAAAATAAAAAAAAAATTCAACTAATGAAAGAGAGAAAGGTCAAGAGAGTGAGAAAAAAAAAGGTCTTAGACATTAATCTAACTAGCATATCACCCGTGCTATGCACGGATTGTATTTACAATTATCTATATATGTGAATTGTGATTTTTAAATGTTTTCTTTTTTTCCTTTTTATATTATATTAAAGTTTAATATTTTGATAATAATCATATGTGTTGGACTTTTTAAGAATTTTTTTTTATACTTGTTCTTAATGCATTAAAGTGTTATTATGAGATATAATAATCATATGTGTTGGGACTTTCAAGGAATTCATATGTGTTGGATTTCAAAAAAAAAATTTATGCTTGTTCTTAATGCATTAAAGTGTTATTATGAGGGTAAGACTTGGGGGTTGTGAGAAGTTAATAAATACTAAGATTTTTTTAAAAAAAATTAAAAAATCAAAAAAATTAAATTGAAAGATTGAAACTCCCACAAAATTTAAGGTTAAAAACATCTTTCTACTTAATATATACTAGCTTATCACCCGTGCTATGCACGGGATAATTTTAGATATTTGTATTTGTTTTAGATTTTTTTTAATATATAAATTATGTTTTTTAAGTTTTTCTATAAAAATAATTTAACAATCTTATCACTAACCATAGTGTATGAGAGAAGTTGAAAAGGGTATTGCAGTAACTAAGATTGTATCTATAATTATTTGTATGAGGGGATTTTAAATGCTGATCAGGGGATTTTGACCAAATCAATAAATGCAGGCATGTGGAAAGACATGTGGATTGAAAAAAGTTAATAAATGCTGATCAGGGAATTTTGACCAAATTAATAAATGCTGAGTTTTTTTTTTTAATAAAAAATTTTAAAAATTCATATTGGGATATTGAAACTCCAACAGGCCTTAGGGTTTAAAAACTCCATTTTGCTTAATATATAGTGCTAACATATCACCTGTGCTATGCACGGATTGTGTTTACAATTATCTATATATGT